CAATATAAGTGTAAGAATGGAAATATGGGCAGATGCCCCCAGTAATCTTCACCAGTTTTCTTGTTTTACTTTGCTTTTTCATTGTGTTTATTCCTACGCATTAAGCAACAGTTTGGCATGCAGAAACACAGCAAAAAGTTTATTTTTCATAGTTTATTTATAAAGTTTATTTTTGCCTCCTCAGGAAAAGTTTAAGTTTTTACATGTTGTTTACTGCTAAAAGAAACAGTGCACACTTTTAAAAAAGAAAACCCTCAAGAGCTATATAAAATGTCTTAATTCATCAGATTTCTTCAGGTTAAACTGAACTCAGGTTAGTGCTACTATGGGAAGCCTCTTTAGATGGGGTCTTTCAAAGCTTCTGAAACATTGCACCTGTTTGCTTGTATTTTTTAAGCAGCTTGCTTTAAAGTGTTGCAGACATATGTGACATTTGCATACCTCTGTGCACAAAAGCATCTTGAAGAATCTAATCTGTGATACTGCACAACCTTCTCAGACATTGGATACTGGTTTCAGGGCTCATTAGGAAATCTAGTCACAAACATTGCATGTCAATATCACAAAACAATAAATGATGAAAATGTGGAAGAAATGATATTGGCTGCTATACATACATGTCAACATTTCCTGGCCCAAAAGATGTCTTGGTTAACAGATAACTCATATTTTAACTGATTCTTTGAACCAGTTTCTGTGAATTTTTCAATACCTAACTGAAACTGCTTTCAAATACAATTTTGTTGCATCTGGATATGGAAGAAAAAGGAAATCAAGAAGCTTTCATTTATTTCACAAAGTAGATGAAACACTCATCCTAACAACACAGTAGCATTTCAGGCTTAGCTTTTCTTTGATGTTTTCAATAAGAAGAATACTGTAGAGGCTTTTCCAACTTATGCATGTCTAAGCTTCATTAAGCTTACTGGGACATTTCTCCAAGATAGTTATATAAGATGCAGTTTTAATTCATTTGACAGATTGTTATCCTGTTTTTCATCAGGAACTCAAGGTAGCATAAATAGTGCTCCCTCTTTCCATTGTTCCCCATAACAACAATCTAATAATGTAAATTGAGCTTAGAAAGTACAGATAATCCTCTATGTACAACCAGTCATTTACTTACAATGGCATTGAAATAAGTGACTTATGACTGTTTTTCAAACTTATGACTGTTGTAAAATCCTCATGGTCAAATGATTAAAATTTGGACAACTGGCTCATATTTATGGTGGTGGCAGTGTCCTGGGGTGACTTTCTGACAAGCAAAGCCAATGGGGAAGCCAGATTCACTTATCCTATTGTCTTCCTTCCCCATCTTTCATTGTAAAGTATTGCTGTTATTTATTGTTTTAATGTTTTATTGATTTGTAATGTTTTCAAGACAGACCTCTTGGTGAGATGGGTGGCAAACACATCAGACAGATATAGATAGATAGATAGATAGATAATAGATAGATAGATAGATAGATAGATAGATAGATAGAT